TTTCAAGATCTAGATATGAAACTATATTTCTTTTTAAGAGAAGTAAATAATTAAATATATTTATATATATTTATTTAATTTGGATTTGAGTTTTAGACCTCGAGATATAAACGTGGTTTTGGGTTTGAATTATCTCAACCAAATGGATTTAACTAAAAGTTTTTAGAATAAATCAAACTCTTAAATACTTCAAGGTTCTAATTTGAAAATGTTATCAGTTTTGTAGTTTTAAATTCCTTATAAAATCTTCATTGAGCACGTAATACTGAATATCGAACTGTTTGATTCAAATCTATTCTATGAGTAATAATGTGTATTTATGGGCATTTATTATTTTTCATATATATTATAAATCCTTATTTCACATGATATACTTGATTTTTAAAAAGTAAATTAAATTTTGTTATAAAAGTATAACAAGGGGCATATATGTAAATATTAATTTTATTTTAAGAAATTGTCAAATTTTATTTCCATGACATTGTTTACATTTGCAATTGAAAACTTTTATTTTCTATTAAATTTTTTTCTGCTTATTAATGAAAAACTATTTTAAAAGAGATTTAAATTATTATAACACTGCAGATAATGGCAATATGTGTTAGACTGGGTGCACCTTAGACCATATCACCAACTAGTAAGGGTAATGCTAGACTTTCATGTTAGACTAACATGGAAGACTTTTATATCTATATATCGGCACACTAAGATGTCACCACTTGATTTTTGTTATTGGTTGACTATGAGATCGTCACCTGATTTCTATTCTATTATGGATCATAAAATCCCTAAATTTCTGTGTCATTATAAAATTTTCTGTTATATCTGATACACTTATTATTATTCTCATAAATATATATTATCATTTACTAGATTTGTTGATTCATCCCTTATTATTTTTTATATTTAGAGTTCGATATTTCAACTTAAGGAGTATTGATTATTTCAACTTTTAATTTGTTTATTCGTATATGTTAGTGCTATTTTTGTTTTCGATTTATATTATATTTTGAAACTTCAATAGACAAGCTCTAATGATTACAAATAGGTTTTTTGCTATGTATTTGATGGATTTCATGAATTGGATCATATTTTTAATTGTATTTATATGAGATTTGATTTAGTTATTTTGATTTATATGATGAATTTAGTATTTATGTTAAAGTTGTTAGGTTAAATTCTATTATAACCTTAACATTGATCACAGATCCAATTTTCTGGGTCGTGACATGCCTTTGAAAAAAAGTTAAGCAGGATAGTGAAAGGTTATAAACACCACCTTAATGTGCGTCAATAATTAGAGTAAGGAAAAATGTCTTAAATTTTATATCAGATAAGAAAAAAATGAAAAATTGAAATAGAAGTAATAGTGTTATATATTTTAACATATATATGTATCTTTTTTAGAGACAATAAAAGTGGCACAACACATTACTGTAGCCGTCGTAATTTTTTATTTAATGAATAAGTAAAATAGCAACAATTTTACAATTTATATAAAAAATTTCAATCCTCGTTCTCATAGGCGATTATTATTTGAAGTGCAAGCAAAAAAATAAAAAAAAACTTGTAATTTATATATTGGGCCACGACGAGATATTTCACAATGTCTACTTTTCTATTGGAAGAAAAGAAAAATCATCTGATAATATAGTAATTCAAATTAGCAATTGGTTCAATTTTAGGTTTTTTTCAAATGGAAATAATATAGTAAAATTTATTTACAAATAAAATTTGTGAGTTTAAATTTATCCCTCCAATATATTAAAAATGATTAATAACATAAAAAAATTAATAAATTAATAAAAGTTATTAATATAAATTTTATCTGCTTATCACAAAATTTGAGACTCATTTTGTTTATTATTTTATAAATTCTTATAGATGAAGAAAATAAAATTTACTTTTACATATACGTGCAAAGTTGTACTTATTGAAAGGATCTAACATCAGAAGATAAAATTCTAGAATTGATGTAATGCAACACCTTTACAGTGAATTCAATAGCGAATCAAAGTCCATATTATGATATTAAAAAAAAAAAAAGAAAAGAAAATTCATCTATAGCCGTTAATATTATGATTTGTAATAATACTTTTTCGCAACCCATCTTCCCATAATCCAAATTTGTAAACTTAATTATTCTCATCTATAAAGAAATTTTTAATATTAGAAATTTCTATAATTGTATAAAAAATTAAATTCTAATCAGATTTAATTATATAAAAAATATTTTTCATGAGATGGATTCACAATTAATTTTTGTAAGAAAATTAAAATTCACCTCTCAATATAAATAACAAATATTTAAAATAAATTCAACTGCTTGTTACCATGGAGCCAAACACCCATCAATCTTAACCGAAAGTCTAGTTCGTGTATTAATCAGTGAAATTAATTTATTTAATATTAGATTTTCATCAAATGGACATCTAATATTAGGACACGAGGCTTTGCTTTGTAAAATTCCCCTTCGTACCCTTCAATCCATAGTCTAAGGGTCACTTTAGGGTTTCAATTATTTCCCAAAACCCTTAAAATATAGCTTTCATGTGGCTTTGCTTTGTGAAATTCCCCTTTGTACCCTTCAATCCATTCAAAAGCATCCTGTCCCTTGGACTTTTCGTCTAGAGCACACCCAAACACGCATTTACTCATGCCAATTTTACTTAGTGTTTTGAAAATTGGAGTCGACTACCCAATTTTAATTGGAAACTGATAAGCTCTTTGGTCTGATTGAATGAAAAAACTGCTTATATTTTAAACAAGTGACAATCAGTCAAACATAATCAAAAACTAAAAAAATCGATTCACTAGTTTGACATGTTTTGTCTCTCTCTCTCTCTCTCTCTCTCTCTCTCTCTCATTTTTTTTTTCCTGTGAAGACTTCTAAAATCTTTGAATCGAAGTTAGACATTTTAAAGCACAATGGGGGCCTTTCATTTCTTGGATACTACCATGAATTTCTTGGATACCACCATGGAAAAGAAGAAAAAGAAACAAAAATGAAAAAACCAGGACCTAGATGGTTGCACTTGAGGGAGAAAGAAATAAAGAAAAATAAAAGAAAGAAAAGAAATGAAAAAGTCAAATTTTGTGACTGAAAAATTGAAAATATGATTAAAAGAATTTTTGTTTTAGTCATTTGAAAGAATTACTTTTGTTTTTGAGTTTTTAGAGTATTATTATTATTTAACATTCCATTTTTTCCTCTAAGTTATGATTTGTTGAATTAAATTTAGATTTCCCCAAACTTGCTTTTCTCACCTTTTGAATATAAAACTTATGACTAATTATAATAAAACAAATTATTAAATTTTAATTTTTTTTTATCCTAATTCTACTATATTTTTACATTATCTGTAATAATATATAAATATATATTTATATTAAATATATTTATGACATTACTCTAATTGAACTAGTGGTTCGACTTTTTCCCCTAGAACTTACTCCAACCCCGGGTAGATTTGGCTTGTAATATTTCCGTAATGTTTTCTTCAATTTTTTTTCCATAACTCTCATTGTTTTTCAAATTTTGTTTCAATTTTTTTCCATAACTCTCATTGTTTTTCAAATTTTGTTTCATAGTATTATTAACGCAAATGTTATGTTATATTATAAAATAATAATGTCTATTATTATTATATTAATATTTTAAATTTATTTTTAATTAAAATAATTATCAATAATTTTATTTAAAATATTTTTATACAAATATAAATTCAAATAAATCGCCTAATATGAAAACCACGAATTTTCGATTCCTTTGGTATTCATCATTCTTTCACGGACGGTACTTGTTTATAAAAGTTACTCGCTTTAAAAAGTTACTAAAAAATAAAAATAATAAAAAAATGTTAAATGTATAAAATTTAGAGATATTTGTAAATTTTATTTAAAAATAGTAAAAATTGATAAATATATACTTAGTAAAATAATTATAATAATTACTTATTATATTAAAATATTTAAATCATTTATTCATCTAAAAAGTGACATATGTAATCATTTAACAAATTTTCTTATCCTGTGAATACAACTTTGATGTAATTAAGATATAAAAATAAAAAATAAAAAAAGTTTTTGAATATGGGGTCCATCAATGAATACATAGAACTTCTAGCAGTTTAATATATATAGTTCTATTTATATTTATTAATAATTTTTAAAATATAATTCTTGATATTTTTCTTTCTAATATAATTTTGCTTGTTATCAAATTTTAATTTCATTGTTCATATAATTAAAATAAGATAAATCGTATAATATATTTAGAGTCTTGTATTAGTAAATAGGTAAAGGATAAGTTGATAATTAAATTAAAATATTGTTGATATATTAATATAATAATATTTTGAATTATATAATTTATGTCATTAATTATAAGAAGTAAGGTTTTAGGTATTTAACTTTTGTTTATTTTTAACTGAAATTTTAAAAAAGATAAATTAAAAATAAAAAATTCAAACAAGTGAAAAAATATATTTTTCAGTAATAATAAAAAACTGCTGGGTAAATAAAAAGGGCGGACAACGTTCTTTCCACTCGCAATGCAGATTTTAACTAAGAATTGGAACCAAACCAAAATGTAAAAGCGGTGTGAACTCAATATGCGTGACCAACGGTTCCAAGGGCAGCCAAGGCCAGCCTTAGCTGCCCTTTAAAAGACTAAACTCGTGCAAGAAGACCCGCAATTCCAGGACTACAAAAGCGGAAGTAAACCCAGTGGCTCTCTCGTAATTCTACTACAACGTGGGGGTTTATTAGACGCTTGGCTGTACTTAGCTCGCCTCCCACGCCCACCCCCTGACAACCTCATTTTTATTTGACTGCGTCTAGCTTCTTTCCTCACAGATCATCGATCCGGTTCACTTCCGGTCCGCCCTAAACACGAACAGCCTGATTTGCCGGTCGTCGGAACAGTCCGATTTGATCGTTGGCGGGAGTCTGCGACAAGTGGTTTTTCCGGTGGCAACAGCATCTTTCGCCGGAGGAATATGTCGGGGACAAGACAACCGACATGGAAGGAGCGAGAGAATAACAAGAGGAGAGAAAGGAAGCGGAGGGCGATCGCAGCGAAGATCTACGCCGGCCTGAGGATGTACGGGAACTACAAGCTTCCCAAGCACTGCGACAACAACGAGGTTTTGAAGGCTCTGTGTAGAGAAGCTGGTTGGATCGTCGAAGAAGATGGCACCACCTACAGAAAGGTAACAGCAGATTCGCCTGAATTTTCTCTCAATTAACTAGCCTGTTAGCTATTTCTCTTTCTCCCTATCCCGGGCCCTGGATTTTTCAACGCACGTTACTACTGCCAATTACTATGATAACATGCGCCATGGTCACAGATCTGGAATTTGTCTTTGATTTTCTTGTGGTATTTTCTGGGGGAAAAATCTAACATCGTATTGGTTTCCGGCTCTTGGGGTAGGGAAAAACTAATTTGAGAGTTGGGAGTTGCAGGGGATGCTTACACACGCCGTCTTCCAGGGTAAGTTAGCGCGAGGACGGATATATGCCTCCGGGTTTCTAGAGTTGCATGAATGTCTTCTCTTCACAGATCGTGATTCTCGTTTCCTGGTCGACGGTTCATATATGTCTGGTCACTTGTCCTTCCCGGCGTACGATAGATACGTTCAACTGTGATTTTTCATTGAAAGCACGGAACACGAAGATTCTTACTTTCAGTCAAAAGTTCTTTCACCAGATTCACTGCTTCGTTTACCCAAGGGGCAAAAAAAGAGGATGTTAACTTATTCAGGATCGCCAATTTGACGGCGATATCTCTGTTTGTTTTGATTAATCTCCTCATAAACTCACCGGACTCCTTCCAAAAACTCATCCAGTATTCCTTTCACCTCTTGCTTTTCTGCCCTCTAAATAATTCTCTGTCTCACTCTCACTCTCTTTCTGAACCCGCTACACCCTGTGAAGTCCCTTTTTAGAGGAATTGAGTTTCCGAACTACTGCAAGTTTTATTCGTGTGAAGCAAAAGCATTTTCAGGAAGCGATATAATATACTGATACTTTAGTTGTGCTTGGCAAATGACCCTTGATGGATCCCATATAAACTAGAAGTTTTTCTTGTTCTCTTTTTTGTCTTCGGATATATTCTCTTCTTATTTTAATACCATTTCTTCTCCTTTAGGTTTTAAGATCTTTTGTGCATCTTTCTCTTATTTTCTAAATATTTTTCTTTCTGCTCAGGAGAAATAACTTGCAAGCCTCTTTTGTATGGTTCTTTAGTTTGTGGTAGTGCCATTCAATGCTGATAATTAGCCAAAAACTAGTATTTATACGTTGTCTTGTCGTAAGTTTTCAATTCATACAAAATTCTTCCGAACCTCTAACGCATTCAGCAAAGAAAAGCAAAGCACTGCCTGTACCTCATCAATATTTCAACATACGTTAAAAATTAATGTCTTAAATAATGCCAAGTGGATATGTGTGTGTGCGCGGGTGCGTGGGACAAAAGGAATGCCATGTTAACTACCCAGCAGAAACAGCGTCAGGATATGTTCTTAAACCAAAAACAAGCAACAGACATTGGACAACCTGAACTGGCCTCCATGGAAGTCAACTTCTACCTACATCTTAGAAACTATATTTTTAAAGAGGTTGTAGTTGCATTGCTGTAACTTGTGATCTGAAATTTACAAATCAAAGTGCTCTTTTGATCACAGAATTTGAAGAGCTAAAAGACAATAGCAGGTACCTTCAAATTGGTAGATTATCTTATATAGTTGATTTCTGATGCTTGCTAATGGTCTAGTGACTGAATGCATTTGTCTGCTATTTATAAGTTTGTCATATGCTTTTGATATGTTTGGATGCCTTGTAAAATCTCCATGTATGAAAAAATTATCACTAACAGGATATTCTTTGAAAATTTTCTAATGGGCACTATACTTCAATTAGGCCCATACCTTGCCTTGGGCTGTGCCTAGGGTCAAGGACACCTAATAAATGTATCACTCATTTAGATGCAAGAGAGGCCAAGCAAAGGATCATTTAGTGCAATGGAGATCCATAAAAATAATGGAGGAGGAAAGGAAAAGAAAGAGGAGAAGTGTTAAACTTAAATTTTCATTTTTTGATGTGTGATTTTAAGAACAAAAGGATATAATGGAACAATAGTAGAGTAATAAAGGGTTCTTTAAAGAAAAGGGATTTTGATTGAAGGAATGAATAGGACTTATGCTAATTTTAAATGGTGAAAAAGCAGAAGTTATAAGAGGGACAAATAAATGATATCATACAATGTAATAGTTGGAGTTATACATATTTTTTTTTCTTTGTGTGGGTTGGGGGTGGGCTGAGCAAAGAAGACACCGATTTTTTGAATTCTTGAATATAAGTCTTTGTTAATTGTGTGGATATTAATGTTATGAAGTAATTATAATGAGTTAGTATGCAATTAATGACTTCTAATCAGTTGACTACTTGGTGCATGTTTGCTGTGACAATCTATCAGTACATGACAAAGCATGAAGTATCCTTTCTGATAGTCAGTCAGCTACATCTTTGACCAAGCATATATCCTTTTCTAGGATAAAGCATTTGAAAGTACAATATTATCATATTGAACTGGAAGTTGTTACAAGGAGAGATGAAGACGTTCTTCTAAAGGCTAATAACCAAGTTTTGAACATATTTGCAGAAGATCAAAATTTTCTAATTTCCTTGCACTTAGGAGACATCATGGTGTTGGAGCTTAAACTATGGATTCTTATTACTTTGGCTGGTTTGGTTTCCATAAAATCTAAATCAAAATTGAACCTTCAGTTCTAAATATTAAGATCAGCCTTGTACAGTAAAATAAACTGAACAGCATCAAATGAGAATATGAAAAAAAACCAAACTGAATATATTTTTCTATACAAATATTTATTCTTTCATATATGACTTAAAACATAATGTTATGGTCAATGCAAAATGGTAGGTGGTATATTCATGTGGTTAAGCTTTTTAGGATTTAGTTTCTATTAAAACTGAAAAGTGAACTGAATGCCTCTATTATTTACTTTTTAAGAACATGAGCCAAATAAAATGTTGAATTGAACTGAATATTAGAAAGACTGCTTAAACAAAGATTTAGAAATCTATATTTATTTAGTGCAATATTTACTGTAAAAAACCTTGATATACACAATTGACAAAGAGAGCCAAGAGTGGCTCCTATTTGATACATCAATGCAGCCCCTCCATGAAACTTCTCTTCCTGTGTTCTTTCACTGTAGACGGCATCCTATGCATTGTAATAGCAACCCAAAGTGTTTAGAGTTGTGGTTTATTTTCAGCCACACAATATCCCTGTACATCTTTCACAATACTGAATACACTTAATGAATTGGCAAGAAAATGCAATGATATATTACAAGAGTGCATTTGAGAAGTATGAGGTGGAATAGCAATTTCTCCACTAAAATGTCACTTAATTTCACGCTTTCTTTTAGGTCTTGAAGATGATTATGGAAAAGGATGATTGATGCAGTAGGTAATAGATGTGACCATCACAGGGCTTCAATTAATGACTCTCGTACCACATTTCTTGCAGCACATCCATTGCATTGGACTTCAAACTTTGTTGCATGTGTTCTCACAATGAAGTTGTAAAAATAAAATCTATATTATACAAATGTTACTGAAAGCAAATGTAAAAATCATATGGTGCATGTAGTGATAAACTTAACAGTCTGATTGTTGACAGCTAGATCTTAATCTTTTCTAAGGCTTGAAGTTGCAACTCCTTTTGTTTTTTGCGTTGATGAATAATGACCATACATCTCAAGGTTATTGACCTGGCAAGGATTCATCCTTAATTTTCTCTTAATTCTCTGTGGATGCAGTGTAGAACAATATTGTGTTGATTGAAATATGGGAGGGCTCACTAATATGTTTGCAACTTCAATTTTATGAATGTTATTCTTTCCCTATCATGGATAGAGGATAGAGGATTGGATGTATGCATTTGTGTATATGTGTACTTGTACAAGTTGTACTATGAGTCCTAGGATGCTGGCTGGGCAGTGGGCACAATCCGAAGAGAAGGCCAACTGATTTATAGAGTCCATTTGATTTTATATCAGCATTGTTCTTCTTATGAAATGTTTCTCATTGTGGAAACAATCTGATCTAGCTGCTTACTGTTATTTTCCTTCATTTTCTTTTTCTTTCCTTTTTCTATTAAAAAAAAAAAAAAAATCTGAGACATGGTTTTGATTTGGATGTCATCTGAATAGGGTTAAAAAATATGCTTCTGTCTGGTATAGATCACAAATTTTGTAGGAAAGTAGTAAGGAGAAAACTGGAACTTTTGGCTTCAATAACCATTATAACTATATGCTTATTTCAGGCTCCTTAATCCCAGTCATTTTTTATATGTGCTATTGTTGTAATCTGCAGTCTAGTAGATGAACTCAGGTGTGAATAAAATTTCTATAGGAGCCTGGTGACAATGACTCGAGACCTTGAGATTTTTGTTCTTAATGCGACCTTCTTATTATTTAACAATTCTTCATAGACATCAAAGTTGCAGATTTCTTGTTACGTTAGTACATGTATTCATTAAAATTTAAGGTTTAGGACTCATCTTGGAATGCAACTTCTTTCCAGTTAAGCTGCTAACTAAATATTGACTTGCATTGTGATGCATTGACATCAGTAAAGTAAAGCTAAATGACCAAACTTAAGAAGCTAATATTATAAAGAAAATTGTCATAAGGTATGGCAAGGGAAACCTTACCCCCCCCCCCCCCCCCCCCAAAAAAAAAAAAAAAAGGCAGAATCAGAGCCTCATAAGAAGTTTTATCCATTTGGTATTTGCCCAGATTTGCTGTGATTATTGACTGATATGGGTGAAATACTTGCAATAATTTCATTTATTCAAGTAATTTACTAGTTTAAGTTGCCCAACTTTATTTGAGGACTCTGGTTGCTTTTGAACATTTTTGCTGATTGATTGATTGATTAATTAGTTTATCTATTTAAATGTAGGGATGCAAGCCTGTGGAGCGCATGGATATAATAGGTGGATCAGTATCAGCAAGTCCGTGTTCATCATATCAACCGAGTCCCTGTGCATCTTATAATCCAAGCCCTCCTTCCTCTTCATTTCCTAGCCCAATCTCATCTCATTGTGCTGCTAATGCCATTAATAATGCCGACGCAAACTCTCTTATCCCATGGCTCAAAAACCTCTCATCTGGCTCCTCCTCTGGTTCATCCAAGCTCCCTCACCATCTCTATGTTCATGGAGGTTCTATAAGTGCTCCGGTCACCCCACCATTGAGCTCCCCTACTGCTAGAACTCCCCGTTTTAAAGATAACTGTGATGATCCATCTGCGGGGCAGCCTGGGGTGGGCCCCACAACCTCTTCCTCCCTTCTTCCACCCACACAGTCCAGGTTGTCAAACCCCGCCAGATTCAGGATGGCTCTCTGGTGTTCAAACTCCCCAAGATGGGCCTTCATCTCCCATGTTCAGCCTTGTCTCATCTAGTCCATTTGGCTTCAAGGAGGCCTTATCGGGTGGAGGATCTCGAATGTGGACCCCGGGACAAAGTGGAACATGCTCTCCAGCAGTTGCAGCAGGTTGTGATCAAACAGCGGATGTGCCAATGTCAGATGGGATGGCTGCTGAGTTTGCATTTGGTTCTAATGCAAAGGGGGTTGTGAAGGCGTGGGAAGGAGAGAGAATCCATGATGAATGTGTTGCTGATGATGATCTTGAACTTACGCTTGGCAATCCTGGAACTAGGTGAGCCGATTGATATGTGGTTTTATTTATTCTTTATTTACTTTTGGAATATAATGGAAATTGGGGAATAGGTAGGATTAAATGCTTCTAATGAGATTTGAACACAAGATCATGGACCTTCTATTAGTGTATATTATGGTTGATTGAATTTTAGCATGAAAGATTCAGTTTGCCCTCCATTTTATTTAATGTTTTTTCCCTAATCTTTTTTATTTATGTGGGGGTTGATCTTGCAGATAAAAGGATATGACAAGAGAAAGGAGGAAGAAAATATGCATGTATTTATTTATATGATTTTCAACCTTTCATGGTGAAGTTCAACAACTATTTATCATGTTGATTAGTCTGATTTGAAGTATTCTGCTTTGCAGACAAGGAGAATTCAAAATGTAGATTAGAAGCAGTTGATCCTCCCCTCCCCCCCCCCCCCCCAAACCCTTTTTTTCCAGATTTTCTTTTTTCCGGGCAGTTATATATAATTTTAATTAAAATATGAGCAGTTAATGTGGTGAATTCATCATCCCTTGAGCAGTATTCTTTAGTCTTCTGTTCTTCAATATTTTCATTCTTCGTCTCTTAACGCAAAAGGATTTCCCACTAATTATCATTACCTCGGCTGATTGTGTTGTGTGATACATTTTTATTGTACCTAAAATTTGATTTACATGTTAAAAGTGAGTGGCTAGTGGTGGTTCCCCGTGAATTTCAGCGTCGCTTTGTTCTTCTTTGGTCTGGATCTGCGTATGTTGGTCCTAGATGTTATCCGTCTTGTAATGTAAGCGTTATTGATTCATCGATCTGTGCTCTCCCATCTGTTTTTACCTTATACTTCAATAATCCTGTTGGAGCTAGTGAAACTCTTGTGCTATGTTTGGTTGGATGACACGTCAAAGCACGGGGAATTTTGGGAATTTTTTTGTTTTTCTAATTTCATATTATTTTATGTTAGTGTTTCTGTATATGATTTGTGTTACGACTTAAACTGGAAATTGCGAAAATGTGAATGGTGCATGGAATGGACTGATCGTCCTAGCAAGTCCAGTGGAATCAATTACAAAAGAAATGGAATATATAACTTTTTCAAAATTTCATTAGAGTTTTAGGTAGTCCCAAAAATCAAGGTTCAAAAAATTGGGTCGTTTATCGAACCGGAAAAGTTACCGGTTCACGGTTTACCGGTTCAATCGTTAATTAAACTATTATTGAACTGTAATTAAATCAAGATGTTATAATTATAAAATATTTATATTTACATTTATATAAATATCAAAAAAATTTTAAAGGTTAATATTATTAATTATTTATAATAATATCAATTAATGTTTAAGATTCAATTATTACAATGCATGCAAAATAAAAATAACAAACTATCAATCTATCATTTAAAATAAATATAAAGAATTTAAATTTTAATTGTTTGTTTTTACAATTATTTTAAAAGAAAAAAATAGTTCACATGTCATAATTTCTCTCACACGGTTACAAATTGACTCAAAAAAGAATAATATCAAATAATTATAAAAATAAAAATAACATATAAAATTAAAAATAATTAAATTAGTTATATCCATTCTTTGAAATGTAGTATAAGGGCTCAAATTTATGTTTTTTATTTTTTAATAAAATATTAATTATTAAAAATTAAATTTAATATAAATAATTTTAATTTTATATTTTATATTACACTTTTAAATTTAAAAGTTTATGAAAGAAGTGAATTATTCATTATGTGATGAAATTGGAATAAGTTCATTTAAAACAAATTATAAATATATATTTTAACAAATAATGAAATTACACTAAAGCAGTAGTGGTCTAGTGACAAAATAGTCAGTATTTTGTGCAATAGACTTAAGTTCAATTCCTTTCTCACATACTATTTTGGCAATTTTATCAAAAATAATTGAACCGTCCAGTTTGCATTGAACCGTGACCGGTTCAACCGCTAGTTTGAATGGTTTTTAAACAAGAATGATTTTCTAGCTTATATAAGTTTTTAGCAAGAACTGGATCGGTAATATAACTGGTCGACAGTCCGATCGGCCGATTTGGTCCGATTTTTCAAACCATGCCAAAAATAACCATTTGCCTATTTAAACCAAAAATCTCATATTCATAACAATCAGATAATCTAAATGTTTGAAAAGTGCACGTAAAAAAATATTTACATATTTACCCATTCAAAAGCTAAATAAGTATAACAAAAATTAAATCTTGCCTGTGGATAATGATGTCTGAACAAATAAATAATAGTTAATGATTAGTTCATCCTGAAGTCATTCTAAGGAGGAGATTTGTTGTGGTTGTTTATTTAGTCTCTTATTCTTGATTTAAAAAGAATTAAATTTAGTTAAAGTAAACGAAAATCGTGGTTTGAAAACATGAAACTAAATACCGAATGTGTGAATAAGAGAGAGTAGATGGATGAATATGTGAGTGAATGAATGATTCGTAAATATGTTTGAGTGGATATGAATATATTCGGATTCAAAAGAAATTCACAAAAAACTAGATTAACCCTGTTACTTGGAATGAATTTTCTGAAAACAATTAAAGGTTTTCCTTACAAGATTGAACTAAATCAAGTTTTAATCCTAGTGGCCTTTATAAATTAAAAACTAATTAATCAAACTCTCTTAATGATTTGATAATAATCAAAATGGGCCCTAAAAATTATTATCAACTGCTATCCAAAAATTAACTCTTAGCTCAATGTTCTCTTAGAGTAGAAATGGAAATTGGGCCTAATCAAGCAACAAGCGAAATCATTTAATAAGAAGGGTAGAATAAATTCATTCAAATAAAAGGTTCAATCACAACTTAGGATGTAACGTCTTGAACCAAGAAGGCTATGCCTAACTTTGTGTCATCAAATTTTAGATGAAACCCTACCGCAACTTAAACATACATTCCATTATCATTCATGGTATGACATTCCATCTTACGACATGTCATTCATTAAATATCATATGCAATTCCAGTGATGAAAAGTAGCAAGGTTGGGACAGAGAATTCCAGTTAGTGAAGGTTGGGACAGTACTTGTTGAAAGTATGACCAATAACAATATATTCATAATTGCATCCTTTACCTGTATCTAAATTTGTAATTATCTCAGCAACAGTATGTTTCAAACAGAGGACTTACATTCAACCCGGCCAGGGGCAACAGCAAGTACAAGCCCTTGCTTAGAGTATAATGGATGTTTCTCTACAAGGACCAATTTGCTAGACACTCCTAATGCTATAGGTATCATATAGATATCCCAACTTCAGAGAATGAAATTTTACAAGGGACTCCAGAACCTGCAAAACTTCCACAAATTAGACAAAAAACGAACTTGATATAAGAATTATGTTCATACTCAAGGAAATTCACAGAAGGCGACCAACCTAAAGGTATCTCAAAACCAAGGCTTGCAGATGAAATATCTTAAACAATTTTTCTTCCAGAAAGAGTCCATGAAGTGCTTTTCATATTTACAAATGGATTTTCAAAAGGATCCCATTGAAAATATACACCCTCAAATGAAGGTGAAGAACAAAAACCTAGACATGGAAGTATAGAATATGAGAGCCATATCCAAAAATATTATGATACTATAAACACAAAAAGCTTCAGGAGAAAAATTCAAAAAGGAAGACCTTTTGGTAAATAATTGGAAAATAAAAATATAAAAAAATATATTACACATTTGTTGTAAAACTACGTGCCAATGGTGTTTTTAAAATGGAAAGGCTATCCATGGTACTCTCAACTGAGATAAAAGAAGCCAAATACAAAATATTGATCTGTATTTAACTATGCAATGAGACAAACCTAGGAGGAAAAATATGTATACTTAAACTACAAGCAGAGATTTACAAACATGGAAGTAAATTGTAATCATGGACAGCATAACTAAGACCTAGATTTACTAAATACAAGCAAGGAATGTCTATAAAGCCTATTTAAAGAAAAAAGGATAATCAATCAAAGAATCATACAGGTTAGGATGTGAGGAGATTGCATGTGTGCTTAAGAACAATTTGTACCATTCCAGAAAAAAGAAAAAGAATTGCAATATATCACTTGCAATGGGCATAAGTTCCTCATCTCTGTAATACTTGTTTCTAATACTCATGGCACAATTCAATTAATATAAGAGAATTGAAAAACAATGATATGCATCAAAATTTTTATGTGCCATGCCTCTGAGCTCTGGTATTTGTTGAGCTCAAAAAGTCTCAAGTCCTATACAGCCTAACCACTCCTGATACTCAATTTTAACAATTTTTTCAGGTGAAGTCCTCTCAAATATTCAATGCACATTAAACACTATCCCCATTTTTGTCTCTTTTCAATAACTTGAAACCATCCACATCAACTAAAACATTCTTTTAAACTATATGTATAGAACTAAATTAACAAATAAATTATATACACCTTGATAGCATCAACCATCCTTTGCCAGGCCGATAGAGTTGTGCCTCCTGAAACAAGGAAATAACTTTCCATCAATTTCCACATAAATGAGGTAAAAATAAATAGACACTGACACCATAACCACCAATTTTAAGTACCATGTAAGAAAAAAACAATAAAAAATAGCCACAAAATAATGACTGGCAACAAAATATATGGAGATTACTAGATGAAGTATGTTGGTGGTTATCAAGCTCAAATGCAAAGAAAGGATCCTTAGATTGGGATGGTTCCTCAAGAACTACAGTATAAAATAAAAGTGACTAACCAGTTCCTTTAGATTGCCTCATATGTCTCATAGATGTATGATAGTCGAGTTATTAACAGGATAATGTGAAATATCATAACACTATCATACATCCCTGTTGATGACATACTTGATGAATTACATAGCTTCAAGGTGTTTTCAAAAATTGACTTAAAGAGTGGATACCATCAAATTCGAATGAAAGAAGAAGATGAGTGAAAAATTGCACGTAAGACCATACATGGCCTATATGAATAGATGGTGATGCCATTCGAATTGTCTAATGCATCAAGCA